GCTGAGTCGATTGACGTCCGTTCGGGGGAAGACGGGGATTTTTCACATTTGCTTCTTGGCTTCTCCTTCGAAGTTGGGCCCGGCTGTGCAGATCCAGTGCCTGAAGAGAGGATGCGCTCAATTGAGAACGCAAAGGGCTGAACTGTCGCATTGAAGAGGTGATTCGGCATGTTGTGGTGCGCGGAATGCTGATGAGCACTCATTAGAGCGAAACGCTTTGTATACGATCTGGTCCTGTGTGTTTAAGAGTACAAAAATATACATAGAAAACATAAGAGATCATACCGAGCAAACGTTCCGACGACTCTAGCAGAAAAAAAAGCATTTTAATTTGATTTTTTTACATATGACAAGATTTTTTCCAGGGGTGGGAATCGGAGGTTGAAGTGGCAATGATAAGGGGATTACAGAAAGACTGGCTGTACGTACAAAAGTATTTAAATTTATTGTTTTCATTTATAGCTATTTTCTACGCTTTCGGATCTTTGGGATTGTTAAGAAAATTTCATTTTAACAAACAATTTGTATTTCTTATATTTTTATTTTAAGTAGCAAGTTTGCCTAAGGCTATTCATCATTATTTCTATGTCTTCGTAAATGCATGAATGCCGGTTTGCGAGTGCTTATCAAGCTTACGCAAACTTCCGCATTTTACATGCATTATGCGTCGTACCTTAATGTCCTTCATCTGATCACTATCTGCCGTGAACTGTGACCCTTGCTGTTATGCACTGATATTCTGTATGCATCTCTTCGTTATCTTACTTATGCAATGATGGGATGCAGACGAAAAGCCATCGCGAAATTTATTGAATTCAATAACGTCAACTGTTTATGTTTGTTTTAAATTCTTATTGGGGAAGATGTTTCAAATATAAGTAAATTTCCTGACAAAGAACGTGAGTGATAAAGCAAAAAGCAATTGTCAATAAATAAAAGGAAGTGAAATAACAAACGCAACGTTAAAATGACTTTCTGTGCGTTGCTATATGCACGTAGTACTTTAAACACTGATGAATACTTTCATAGCTATGAATTAATAAACCAAGCTAGACTATGATGTTCAGATTTATTAATCAAACCTGCCATAAGTTTGCAGCTTTGAGTTGAAATTTACGTTACTCTGCAACTCAGCAGTTTCATATGTTAATCTCTATCCCGGTCTAAGTTTGCCCGTTTGTGCATATTATTCTCCGAAAGAAGGCCAACCTAAATTCGGCAGTTTTACCAAATAAAAAAGTAGCACGTTAAACTTCATTTTCTTCTTCTTTTCGTGTGTAGATATCTGTTTGAAAAACATCTTATAGTGTTATTCAAAGAGGCCACTTACTAGACAAATATTTTTACATTGATCTTAGACATAGTAATTACCAACTTTTGCTGTAAACGTTAATTTTCTTCAGTGATTAAGTTTTTGAATTGGTCTGCAAGCATGCTCCAACCGGTCATCTGCACATAAAATAATGATGAAAAGATAGCGCAGCTCCTTAGCATTAGATTAAAAACGCTGAAAATGGCGAGTTATGCATTAACATTTCGGCAAAAGAAGTTCAAGTAGTGCACCTCATAAACCGCTAGTCCCAGAATTTGTCCCATATAAACGAAGGTTGTAGGCGGTTTGTGGTGGGGAAATAGGATGGGCAGTGAAAGAAATTCGCAGAAGCAAGTGGAAAGTGGAAAATATAGTTGAAATTGTTTCTCGCGGCCGCTGAGAGTAAATTTTTCCGCATGTTAATTGATGGTGTGTGCGGCGCTTCGCAATGCAGAATATACTAATCTGACGCCAGAATGGTAAGTTGGACCTAAGGTAAGTTGAAGATGACAACTTCTTAACCACCATTCTTTTTTTTCAGGAATTTCAAGAAAACCGTATTTTGTTAATCGGATTTTTCCGTAGTACGTTAAACGATAATACAAATTAGGCAAATTCACAGATATAAATCAGTAAAATTTCTTCATACACTAAAACAAAAGTACATATAGCAGTTACTAATGTACATGCCACTGCCTATCCTAATTCTACCGCCATAAAACCCCTAAACCAACGTACTG